TTTGTCATCCATTCACGTCGCGGGATACCAAATTCAGTATATGTGAAACTAGTGAAACGATAGCGAGAACGTTATGAGTGCGGTATGTTGTCATGTTCTTACATCACACGCGTGTCAGGATTATCATGTTTGCACCAGTCATATATTTCGTCATCCATTGACATCCCGTAACACCAAATTTGGCCTATGTGGAGCTAGCAAAACGGCCGCGAGCGCATGATGAAGGGCCCAGGCCCAATATACTCCGATGTAGCGTTGACAAGCGCACGCTGGGCACAGCGACGATACGTTAGCAAAACGCGAGCACTCTATAGTGTGACGTTAGGCGCGACCAGCGTAAGTCGGCATGGCCCGACGGCAAGCGACGCGAAATGCGACATGCTGCATTTCGCGCCGATGCGTTACCCAGACAACACTGCGTCACTCTCTTTTCGTGACGGAGGGACGCCGGATGCGCTGAAACGCGCATGCATCAAAGCAATGCAGCGCGGCGCGTGCCTACAAGTATATGGCAGGACCAGCGCCTGGCATGGCAACGCCAGCGTGCACGCGCAACGCGTCACGTCGAAATGCATTGGCACCTTGACTGTGACATTTAGTAATGTTCTCACATGACACGCATCTCATGAGTATCACGTTTGCACCGGTCGCATATCTTCGTCATCTATTGGCGTCACGTAATACCGAATTTGGCATATGAGAAGCTAGCGAAACGGCCTCGAGCGCATTATCAGTGTGTCATGTAGTCAAGTTCTTACATGGCACGCATGCCGTGATTATCATGTTTTGATGTGTCATTTAGCTACGTCATTCGTTAGCGTCGCGTAATACTGAGTTTGGTACAAGTGAAGTCAGCGAAACTTCCGCGAGCGCATCATGAGCGTGGCATGTAGTCATGTTGTTACATGACGTGCATGTCATGATTTTCATGTTAGGGTCTGTCGCTTGTGTTCGTCAAGCAATCATGCCATAGCATACCAGTTTTTCAACATGCCATATGAACAAAATCACCGCAAGAGCTGCAGGACCATGAAATGTAAATCATGACATTCATGAGATATATATCATGATTTCCATGTTATGACTAGTCAACTATGTTCTTCATACAGTCGTGTTATGCGGTACAAAGTTTGGTATTGATACCGTTATTGAATCGGCCAGGATAGCAAAAAGTCGTCGGCGGCTAGATAGATAGATAGATAGATAGATAGATAGATAGATAGATAGATAGATAGATAGATAGATAGATAGATACGCTCAAAATCGCCGAAGTTTGCTGAAAAATGCTTCGCATTTATTAACAGAATAGCAATGAGTAAAAAACACTTAAGGAATCGCCTGATGCAATGCCAGGTGCGTCTGTCCAACTCGTCTGCCCCCAACGCACCTCTAATTTTGTTATGAAGTCGAGTCAGAGGAGCCTGACGGCGCGTTTTCTCCACTTCACCATCGTTTTACAGTCAATCTGAACAAGTTTTGGCAATAAGGAATCATGAAAAAACATGAACTCGGTGCAAAATCTCGCACTGTCATGGGTCTGTGCATCTATGCGCCGAGTTGAGGGGACGATGCTTCGCTTAAACTGCCAAATGCAACTTGTAGAGGTTCAAAGTTCGCAGCGAATCAAGAGACCTAGTGGCTTTCCGCTGTGGTGGATACAGAGGGGCGGGGAGTAAAGGCGATCGCCCCCCCCCCCCCCCCCAAAGTCTCTGTCGGCACCTCCCTTCAATTCAGTTTTCGTAGTTCAGCTCCTGTCACCTAATATATAAAAATGAGTGAAACCGCTCTGGCACACATTAGCAGCATTTATGCTACTAAAGGTTTTTGTGCTAGTAAAAGCAAAAAAAGTCACGACCCTGCCCGTCTCTCCGTTGTTTCTTTAGAGGACCACCCCCCTAGAACGAGTGGCTGAATTCGCCCCTTCAGCCTCTTCGAACAACAAAGACACTTATTCAGTGCTCTGCACTGCATGTCACTACCTGCGCTGCGTGAAGGACGAAACTGCAACTGTAGAAAGAGCCGTAGACAGTGTGCTAGCTAATGCAATTCACTCCGAAGCCTGTAATTCTCAAAATTACCATGGGTGTACCTGATCACCACACTAAATGCCTCTCTAGGTGTTATTCTTAGAAACTCTACGCCATACACAGAAACATGTGCTAGAGCACCTGAACGTGACATGTACGTAATGCGGCTATTCGATCTCGCAGCGTTTTAAAGGTGATGTCAGTAGTGACCTTAATCGTCAACGTCGGTGTGAAAGAATGATTGAAACGAATAGAGAATGAACCAAAGAGAGAAAGCTGGCACACCGTACATTGTAATATATGCTAGATAGAACAGCCACGTACAATATGGCTGTTTGTCTATGTGCTGTTTTAAAGGAGATATCAATAATGACCATCCTCATCGCCTCTGCAGGATGACTTACGGCTCTCTCTGTATTCTAGAAGTTCTATGAGTGATAGAAAGCTTTGTTCAGGATTGCAATAATAGCGAAAATTGGGCTAGTTGGTGGTTCATACTTGGGAAGTAAAAACATCGCAAAAATATAGACAAGGACTGAGGAAGAGACAACACCTGAACTCGCAACTAAACTTTATTGGAAGATACACGCACATACATCAAGCATTCGACCCGGTGTATCTCCCAATAAAGTTTAGTTGCGAGTTTAGCGCGGTATCGTCTCTTCCTCTGTCATTGTCTATATTTTGCACTGTTTTTACTTCCCAAGTTTGTTCAGGATGTTTGTCAAAGTAAGCGAAAAAAATGCACCCTTCTTTACAAGTGTGGCGTGAGCTTATAAACACAATTATAAATAAAAAGTTCGCAGAAATAGCAGTCTTTTTGTGTTTTTAACCTTGGACTGCACGATTACTAAAGCTAATGCATAAATTAGCCCAACACCAACTTCTGTATAAGTAAAGAGGCATTGGTCAAAACTATGACTCCAAGTTCATGCTCTTGTATACAATACCAATGACACTTACGTACACGGGTTGATTTGTCCGATCTGTGTGCTTATGGGCTCAGTCGTGTTAGTAAAATTTTCTCGCTCGTTTTTTTGAAAATTTTAGGTGATTGTACCTTTCTACAGGCAAGTATGCATAAAAAGACGAATTGTTTTTTTTTATTGTTACCTAATTGTCGTTCACATTGTGTAACATGCACACTTCAGTAATTTGCACAGTACTGAACATACATATCATGAACATGCAAATGAACATGTATATTGTTGCAAAATGTTAAGCTATCAGCCTCTCAAACCATCATATTCTATAGAGGCATGTTTTGACAAATATTTGTTTGAGAGCAGTGTGCTCACGGTGACATAAGCATTAATCCTACATCTTGCCTAGTTTGTGGCCTCCGCGATCATTGAACATTAACATTCAGCTCCACGTATAGCATTGACGTAGCACTTTGCCAGGTTTGTTTAACGTTTTCTCTCGCCACAGGTCACATTACAATATTATATACCAGTGTCACATGGGCATTTTTAATTGCAATTAAGGTCGATCTGGATTAACCACGATCCGGATTAGGTGTTGCTACATAGTCACATTAAATCGCGATCAAGACTATCAGGATCCGCGCACCACGATCTAGCTAAGAGATTGCGATTTCAATTTAATCTGTATACCGTGATCGAGCTTGTTGAAAGCAAAAACAAATAACAAAAAATACAAGAGTCAAGCGTAGTTTTGTAAAAACAGATTTAAAAAGCTAGGTACTTTTATTTTAAAAAGTGTAAGCTGTTTCAATAGAGAAAAAAAAACATCTGTAGTATTTCGTATTTTAGGATTCACTTGACCGCTTGTAGTTATGGGAGAAGCAGACAATTAGTGGACGACAAGTTTAACTATTGCACCATCGCAGCAGTTGGAGCATCTCCAAGCAAATTTATTATGAGTGTCGCAAGCTGTTTGACTATGTCGCAGCGTACGCCTCCTTCGGGGTCGAATAAGGAGACCTTTACAGTAATTGACCGCTGGCAGGAGCATATGGGAGGCTTGAGGCACCAGATGTGAAACTCTGGCATGTACGACGAGATCGCAGTTTTGCTGCGACTGAACGGCTACAAGCGGGCGCCACCAGAAATAAAAGTCGGGATTAAAGTTGTCGCATAGCAATACAGGCAAGTGCGAAGAAAACTACACCGAATGACGGATTTGTGATAAACACAAAGTTTTTGACGTTTCAGCAGTTCTTGTACGAATAACACATCGCTGATAAATGGGTCTACTGAAATATCGCACGATGAGTTTTGTCAATGACAAGCTTTACGGGCACGCAAGTACCACCTGGTGCATTTTACCTGACCAAAGCTCAAACCGGATTAGCTTGGCCCGTGTATATAGATAGCAGCGGCCACAAGTTGATCGTGATGAAGGAAACTGATCCGGATCACCCGGATTGCGATTATAAGTGCCCGTGTGACACAAGCATTAGACTACGTAGTCTATCCTTGAGGCATGCACGAATGCACGCACATGCACGTGCACGTGAATACACGACCATTAATGACGGGGCCATCAAATGCTGTGCATTAACTTTTAAATTCCTTTCTGAGAGTGACAAAACGCGCAAGGACGGGAAAGGAAATGAAAAAAGCACACAGCGCCGACTGTCAAACGAATCTTTAATACTGCTCAACAAGGGATAAATCACTTTTTCTTTAATGACGTCACGCTCCGTCTGTGTTCATTCTGTGGTTTTATCTTTTCACGCTGTTTCACATCCAAATATGGCGTATGTGGACCAACTGGCCTGCTTACAGTGTTAATGGTTAGCTTTTATTACTTACTTGCTCTATAGCATCGATACGCAACATTTTGTGCGCGCGAAACGCTGCGCAATTGATACTTTGCCCTCACGAGCTCCGATATCTCTTCCGTGACAACGAACCGACTCGGTGGCTTATCTAACCCGTCGAAGAGGCGGCCCTGATAACAGGCGGCGGACGCGTTCGCATCCGGCCTGCCCGCGAACCACGCAGAGAACTCACAGCTACAGCAGGCGTTGTTTCTCGGCATTGGTTCTGTCGCACTGAGACCGAAGACGTATTTTGGTGAAGAGGTTGCAAAACGCGATGCAGTCATGTCGACAAAATTGAGCTACGTACTTCGCGACTGACCTTGGTTTCACCGAGTTGGTGCCTGTGATGCTACAGTCACGTTTGAAGATAAGAACACGACCACTACAGATGAGATCTGTTTCTTCGACGCTAACTTCGTGTAGCAACGTTTGACGGCTATCCATCACTCCGCACGCGGAAACCACGTGAGTAGTTGTTTACAAACTTTTTTTTTTCGGCGCCATACGGATAAAACGGGGAACTCTGTGTGTTTCGTAGAAACACGCGCTACTTACCCCGACTTACGACACCACGGGGAGATGCGATTGACCACACAAGTTGTCGAGTTGGCTGAGAAACTCGTCCCTCATTCGGTTCAATTTACGTGGATGTTGCGGTGTGCAGTATTGCTGCCGTATTGATAACCGCTCAATCATTCTTTTTTTCAGTTCTTTTGTGTGCAAACGGCACTGGGGACCAGTTTCAGAAGCTGTTGTATGTAGAAAATGCTTCCAACCAATTTACCTCTTTTAAATAGAATAATTGTCGGGGTTTTACGTTTCAAAACCATGACGTAATTTTGAGGCACCCCATAGCAGACGGCCCTGGAAATTTATACAGCATAGTTTTCTTTAACAGACACTAACATAGCGCAGCAGACGGGCCCCTAACATTCTGCTTCCATCTAAATGCAACCGAGTTGCGCAGTATCGAACCTGAGGTTTCGGGTTGGAAACGGAGCCCCGTAACTATATATATCAGCGGCGGACAACTCGCCCTCAAGAATGAGGTTGACGGTTGTTGCTTGATGTCGTGGGCGAAGTTGAGATAGTGCTATAAACACCGTAGGGTGGCAATTCGCTTTACATTTTGAAAATGTCTCCTCGTCATTGCTACCAAGATTTGTTTATATGTGAATAGTAATACTATCTGGGATTTTACGTCCCAAAACCACGATATGTGAGGCACGTTCCAGTTGCGGGCTACGGGAATTTCGACTACCTGGGGTCATTTAAGACCAATGACGTTGCACGGTAAACGGGCTTCTAGCATTTCCCTGCAATCGCGATGTTGAAGGACTTCGCATGTCCATGGTGCACGCGGAACTTCTATTCACCCGATATGTAATATTAACACCTTAGTTTTACGTCCAAAAAACAAGAAAAAAACACGGTATGATTAGAAGCGATGCCTAAAGTGGAGGATTCCGGAAATTTAGAACATCTGGTATTTTTTTAACCTGCACTGACATCTCTCTTCCGAACTTTCTGGATGAACTCATAGTGTTGTGAGGAGCGCGTTGCGTAAAACTGCTGCAATGTGTGCGATACAGGATGTTGCCATGTCGAGTGATCGGGGCAACGCGAATGTCAACTAACATCTGTGCCGTCACGTCGACTTCATCTATCGTGAATCCAGGTCAACTATATTTAAACTTTCTGTCGGTCTGTGTTGCAAAATAATAGCGCGCAAGCTCGGTCCCGTGCCTTCTTTTTCGCGGGCTTTCTTCAAGTGACCGAAATTAGGGCTAAAGCTCGATCCTCCTCCCAACAAAAAACAACGACAAAAAAAAAACTACAGTGGTTGTGTGTCCTAAAAACAGCGTGATAAAACGAAGAGAGAAGGATAGATTGAGAGAATAAGGTTGACTGAAAGGCAGGGAGGTTGATCAGAAGAAAATTCCCGGTTTGCTACTCTGCACTGGGGAAAGGGTTGCACGAAAACACGTTAGGAACAAACAAAACAAAGGGTTGAAAATCAACAATGCGGTTTTTTGCGTGCGTACAAGCTCATAAGAGCTTTTCACTGGATAGGAGGTAAACGGGATTTTGAAAAGGCGTATGAGTCTTACCCCGTCTAGAATATGAGTAGCTCAATAGCGCAAATAGTTTATCTCTTTTTCGGTGTACGTTATTGACAACAACAGGCTCACTAATAATAATTGTTAGACTTCAATGCTCTAAAACCATGACTATGAGAAACGCCGTAGTAGAGGGCTCCGAAAATTTTTGACCTACCAGGTTTCTTCAACATGTTCCCAAATCTTCGTCTGCACGGGTCTCAAGCGTGTTAGCTTCCATCGAAAATGCGCCTGCCGGGATTCAATCTCGCTACCTTCGGGTCAGCAGTCGGGCGCCTTAACCACTAAACCACCATTCAGGTTTAAGGCTCATTTGAAAACTTTTAAAGTGTAACTGCTTGCACCTGAACACCTGCTACACAGTGACTATTTGTCGTTGGGATTTAAAATGAAGAACATTAAAGTAATTAATGATATTTTAGTTAACTAATAAGGCATGTTTCGAGAGCACTTAAGATAACCAAGTGACGCCACACAGTTTTGCCATTGATGTTGCTCTTATCTTGTTCATCCACGTTCTGTTCAAACTGGCTCGGTGGATGAATGTGCTTTTTGAGCGCTCCCAATCAACTGCACATATAAATAGTTTTGAATGTTTGAGCTTGCTTTTATAATTAATAAGGCAGCACCTTTGTAGCACTTATTACATTGTACGGATTTTTCTGGACTCAGTCACCAGGTATTTACTACTTTGTGTGTGTGTATGTGCTTGTTGGTTTGTGTTTTTTTCGCTTACCACCCCGTGGGAAAGTGCACCAACGCGTAACACGAAAATTTTTGTAGTAGAGATTAGACTTTCTTTTTTTTTTCGTATGTCAGGGTTTGTCGTACGCCATGTTTTGTAATTATTGAGTGGGACAATTTATAAGGACAATTGATGTGTAAAAGACATGGTTGAAAAAAACTGTAAAATGTTGAGGATGTGTGGTGGGTTTGAAAATGGACCCAAGTGCAGACGCGACTGGAGAGGAGGTTGACGTCAAGTGTAGGCAATGTGAGGTCGAGGAAAAAAATGAAGAAAATGATAGTTGTCCAGAGTGAACTGCTGTCACCGATCTGGAGACTGTGCTGGCGACAGAGCAAGAGACAACGAGGGCTATGAGAGAAAGGCTCAGGTCCGCCGAGGAGGCACTAACGAAGGTGAACAAAGAAGCGGCCGACGGAGAGAACGGTAGGGCACCTGCAACCAGAACGGCGGAGAAGGAGCAAGCAAGTTCGGAAAAAAACAGGTTCAGCCAGTTCAATGGTCGCAAGACCCAGCTCCAGCGAAGTAGTGGTGGGGCTGGAAGGAGACAAAGCAGCCGGCGTCACAGGTGCAAGTAACCCACAGGTGCAGGATGCTACAGCTGAAAAGTCACAGCACGTGATAATCACCGGGGACTCGAATTTAAGTCGATGCGCAGAAGCAATCAAAGAGAATGTAAGAGGTGACAAGAGAGTTGCAGTTATGGACGTTCACGGGACGCAAGCTGGAAGCAGTCATGAGGGAAGCGAGCGCAAAACTCAAAACTACAGCTGATGGACGAAACCTCGTGATAAATGCAGGTGGTTTAAACAATGTCCTAATGAAGATACGGCAGGACTAGCGACAACACTGGTGAAAGAGGTCGAAGACATGCACGCCATTTGTCCTCAAGTACAGGTAGTGATATGCACGATACCGGAGGTACCGGTGCGTGATGGCAACCTGCAAAGAGCGGCTGTCAATGGAAACCAAGATATATGGCGGATGAGTTGAGAGAAAGGCTTTGAGGTGGTGTAAATAAACAGAGAGGTGCATAGGTGGGGTTGTTTTCAACGAGACAGAATTCCCTTCGATGGGAGGCTAGCTCATGAGGTGGGTTGGCGACTTGCAGGACGCGCAGTAGATTTTCTTGGGAGCCACGCAGGCCCTTCGGGGTGCAGGATAGCTAGTAACGAGAAAAACGACCAGGGGGACTCTTTTACAGGTGGTATAGACAGATACGATTCCAAAGTGGCACCAATATCTGAGACACGTAGAGTCCGGGGCAGAAATCGACGTAGCCACGAGGGCCGAGCCAATTCAGATGTAGGGTATGTTGACATGCACGGTGGCAGGAACAGGCTGAACTGGGAAGAGATAGAAGAACAGCTAAGGGAGGAGAGGCCGATGGTATACGGTTTTGTAGAAGCACATCTTAGGGACAAGGAACAACCTCCAAACAATACGGACTACACGTGGGAATATTGTAATAGAACAGAAGCCAGCAGAAAGCAGGGTGGTATTGGGGCATTCATTCATAAAAGTGCAGACTGGCAGATGCTCAAGCAGGAGTGCAAGGAACATTTATGGCTAAAGGGGAAAGTGGCGGGGCAAATGACTCTCCTGGATTTTGTATTTTTGTGGACAGGGGCAAAAGGCAGAGAAGAAAATCAACAAATGGTGCAGTGCATAGTAAATGACATTGACGAACTAGGAGAAGGGTGCGAGGTAATTATATTAGAAGATATGAATGCGCACATAGAATATATGGATGAATATTTTGACCCAACAGGCAGAATGCTAATGAATATGTGTGAAAGGCATGATTTAATCATTTGTAACAGCACCGATAAATGCGAAGGGCAGATAACATGGGATGTGGGAAGGATGCAGTCGACGATAGATTGGGCAATAATGTTACATAGGATGCATGATCGGCTAAGAGTGATAAACATAGATTAATATGGGTCTAGAAGCTTAGGTAGTGATCACAAACGTATCAAGCTGAGTTTTGGAAGAGAAATTAAATAGAAAAGGCGGCATTACAAGCAACCACATGGTAATATTTATTCAGAATGGCAAATAAAAATAGCAACTAAAGAGGTTAAGAAAATAATCACCGATGATACTAAAACAGAGTGGATGCACACAAATCTAACTCGATTGTTTGAGTTAGGGCTTGCTATGGTACGAGTCAAATCAACCAGGAAAAGCAGACACAAGCCCAAGAGCTGGTGGCATAAGGAAATTAAGGGAGTCACAGTAAGAAGTCAGAAAGCCTCCAGAGAACACAGGTATGCTAAACAGAGGGGTGAACCGGAAGATGATGTCAAAATCAATCGGGATAACGTTTTGAGCTGCAGAAGCGAAGCATCCGATTTGATCAGTGAAAATATTAGAAGAAAGGGGGCCCAATGAATGGCGGAAGTAAACAAAAAGGATAGAAATGTAGCTGCAAAGTTTTGGAACCACCTCAATTCTCTGATAATAAGAGAAGCATGAAACATAGGTTTATAACGACACTTCAAGGGGTCAGACTAGAAGGGGATGAGGCGATAGAATATAAACAAACAATGATGACCGCAAGATTTAAACACCAAAAAAGCGCTGCATGCACCGTA